TCACACTTGTTTCCTTCCGTCATGGTCAAATTCAGACTCCACAGCCAAATGATGAGTACGTCACATCTGCCTTTTGAGGGCATCACCATTATGTCAATTTGGTCAGATACACTGCATATGGATTTAGGGGAAGTGCACCGGGTGGATGGGAGCGACATGCCATCGCTGATCGGGCATTCCGTCACGATATCCAGAAGGAAGTAAGATCCAAAGGTTGAAGGGGCATGGAGCAGGTGCTATGCGTGGTTCAACATTTAGTGATTACATTTCAATCGTGTCAAGGGAGCAAATATTTTCCTTGCCAATGCCCCCCAGATGCAGCCTGACTGTGCCCCTACAGTTATATGGCACAGTCATACAATCCTCCTTCCCTCGTGGCAGGTCTGTGAACCCAACCACTCGGATACAACCACAACTCGATGATGCACTTTCATTTTGGGAAATTTCGAAAGTCAAACGCGCGGCACTTTCCCAAACCCCCAATCCTGCTTCTTTCCTGCTCAAAAACGTCGCAATCTCACTAGCCTACTGGTAGTCTAATAGCAGGTTTGGGAAATAAACCGACCGCGGCGTTTACATCTACGCTAATTCGACAACTGCCTTATCTGGCTCTGGAACTGAGTTTGTCTGACTACGCCGAGCGTCCACCTAAACGCCTGACCACCTTGCCTTTGCGCCCAAAATAGTTTACCCCATTAGCGCCTTCACCCTACCCGGCCCTGCAGGGACCTCTTCCCAGTCACAGCTTTCAATTAACTGTCCACTTGCTGAGACCTGCTCGACAATGGCCGAATTGCAGGTGCCAGTCCTCAATTTAACTGGCGAAAGTCTTGAAGAAAGCCCTACAACAAGCGCTCCATCTTCTCCCTCATTGCGTCCTCACTCCCGGCGAGCGTCCATGACATCCCTATTAGTCAAAGAGACACGGAATGCGCACGTCTCCGATGGTGCGAATGGCGAACGACAGGTCAATCAATACATTCTCAAACGTGTGCTCGGTCGGGGATCGTATGGGACGGTCTATTTTGCCATGGACACAGATTTGGACGATCACGTTGCTATTAAGGAGTTTTCAAAGTCCAAGTTGAAGCGCCAGCAGATGTCGCGAATGGGTGGTCCGATGGGGCGGGGCGGGTTTCGGGGTGGTCGGGGTGGGGGACGGGGTGGTGGGCTTTTTGGAAGGGGGCCGATGGGAACGGGGATTGTCGCCAAGGCGGAAAGTCTGGCACCGCAAGCCGCAGAATCTAGCAACCCTATTGATCTTGTGAGACCGGAGATTGCGATCTTGAAGAAGCTAAATCATAGGAATGTGGTGAAACTTTACGAGGTGTTGGATGATCCGGAGACGGTATGGTGGAATTTTGAGGGGAACAGCTGAGATATGTCTTTGCTAAACGGAGCCTCCGCAGGACTCTTTATACATGGTTTTCGAATTGTGTGAACGGGGGGCAGTGCTGGATATCACGATGGACAAACCAACGAAACCACTGGATTTGGAAACAGCGCGGCAATTCTTCCGTCAGATGATATTGGGAATTGAATATCGTATGTAGCATGCACTGTCTTCCTATCGGTCTCCTCGCCGCATACTGACTAGTGATTGATATTTCACAGTACACGAACATGACATTGCTCATCGGGATATCAAGGTATGTTTGGTGCAGAGTCCTCAATGCAATGGTCAGGACTTCTCACAAATTCATAATCTCCAAACTTTGACACAGCCAGATAATATGCTTGTGGATGGTGAGGGGACTTTGAAGTTGGTGGATTTTGGAGTGTCGGAAATGTTTACGAAGGATAGCGATAAGCTGAAGAAGTCCGCTGGTTCTCCTGGTAGGTCTATCTGGCACCGCGTAATTATCAGTTGCCACCGACAACTGGATACTGAGCATCGTAAATTCAGCTTTCTTCGCACCCGAAATGTGCGTACCACAACATGGAGATATGTCGGCGCGTGCTGCGGATATTTGGGCTCTTGGGGTATGATCGTGGTCTGGCAATAGGAGAAGAACAAGTGCTCTGACACGTCGGTTTCGCAGGTAACATTATTCTGCATGTGCTTTGGCCGATTACCATTCACGGGAGTGTCTATCATCGACCTATATGAGAGCATAAAGAATGATCCGTATGTTCAGCGCTTCATTTTTCGATGGATCCAAGGAAGTGCATGTGCCTAACCCTCACTCAGGCCGCCGATCCCTAAGGATGCAGATAAACTACTGACGGATGTCCTTCTGAAGCTGCTCGACAAGAACCCGTCAACGCGAATAACGATGGATAAGCTGAGGGTGTGTATTTTCCATTGGTCGATACGCAACGATTTGTGACCGAAACTTTTGTAGGCGGATCCTTGGGTGACGAAGAACGGGACGGATCTCTTGCCTAGGAAGGAGGATAACTGTGCGGAAATGGTTATGGAGATTACGGAGGAGGAGTTGAAGTCGGCTGTGAAGGGTGTCAGCGGGCTGTTCACTGTGGTAAGTGCTTGTTTGGGAATCATTGCGCAACCATCAGTGGATGAGAATGGCTGACGGTCGTCATTCTTGATTGCATCTCACAGCTCAAGGCTGTCAATAAACTTAAGAAGATGGGACGGAGTAGCAGTATGTTGTTTTCACCACCTGATGGGGAACCGCCGGCTTCTGCAAATACGACGTCTGGGTCGGGATCGTTGGTGCCCTGATCGTCTGGTTACGATTTTTTGGGGCGCGTGCATGGAGCTGTTATGGGGGAATGGGGGGAAGTGTTTTGGTTTCACATGATTTGCCCTTCGAAATTTTCGGGATTACATACCAGTTGTTTTCAAAGAACGTTTTGTACATAGAATCTTCCAAAATACAGAGGTGGAAGAACCTCCGCGCTGGCGATGGCTTACATGAAATATATTGATGTGATGGTTGCGTTCCTTGTAGCCTACCGTGCTGAATGACCGAGTCCCATCTGCCGCTTGATGCACTTGAGCGCCTGCGTTAAGGTATTCTGTACGCATTCTTTGACGTTGAATGGGAAAATTGTATCTCTTGGGGGACACAAAGTGGTGAGACCCGCGCGTGTCCCAGCTTTGCCATGGCTTTGCCACCGGCTCCAGCTCGAAACCTCACTTCCGTTGTTTATCAAACACTCTTTCCCACCAAGCATCAGCTGCCGGCTCATTGCACCACCCACTTCACCATACCGTAGCCTTAACACCAGTCTCTCGCCATGTTGGTGCCCCAACTGCCATCTCTGCCCGTCGTGGACATTTCAGCCTTTATAACCGGCGGCAGCGAACAAAAGAAGAACACGTGCGCCAAAGAGCTTGATACCGCCTGTCGGGAAATAGGATTCTTCTATCTGACTGGTCATGGCATCTCGGAAGAACAGGCGGTTGGAATAAGGGAGCTTGCGAAGGAGTTTTTTGAGTTGCCGGAAGATGGTGAGGAAGTGTTTTGTTGGGGGTTGGTGGAATGCGTGGACGTGGTGGTAACGGTTTTGTATTGGTGTGTTGGGAAATAGAGAAGGAGAAAATTTCGATTACGAAGAGTGATTTTGCAAGGTTGGTGGCTTACCTTCTCTTTCTGATAGATGTTGCGACCCAGCTTGTGCTTCGTTAATGACACCAAAATTGCCTGTTTCAGAGGTTATCAGCGTTTGGGGAGAAATATCACAAAGTATGCCAAGGACTGGCACGAGGCAATAGGTAAATCTCAAGTCAATCACTCGGTTCCGAGACCTGCGGGGGCGCCGTCTTAATCAACACATTTCATGTAGATTTGTACGCACCTGTTTCAGAAGGGCATCCTCTCATTCAACGAAACTCCAAAACATTGACAGGCACAAACCCCATCCCTCGACGTCCGGAGAACTTCAAAGCACGAGTGGATGCGTATATTGAAGCTATGAAGTCTTTGGGAATGGCAATGATGCGTGCAATGGCTGTTGGATTGGGTTTGAAGGAAAACTATTTTGTGCCATATATGGATGATGGGTTTTGGGTTATGAGGTAAATTGGATATGATGATATGCGTCAAGTCGGTGATAACGCTCATGATGCTGCGCATTAGATTGATCGGTTATCCGCCATTGAAGACAGATGTCGAAGGCGTCGGCATAAGTTGTGGAGAGCATACTGATTATGGTGTGTTATCACGCTGCTGCATACATCAAGATCTGCGCATGAGACTTATGCGTTTTGACAGGTTGCGTTACCATATTGAATACGGTACGATGGCGCTGATCTATTGCCGTATAATTCCATGCCCCTGACATTATGCATCATTGGAAGGACGACACTCCGGGCTCCCTCCAAGTTAAAGGCAAAACCGGCGAATGGATCAATGTCGACCCGATTCCAGGAACATTCGTCATCAATATTGGTGACATGCTGAATGTATGTGATATGCGGGTATTCTCATCGCCCACGAGTTCGTTATGAATAATCCTCACCTCACACCCAGATCTGGACAAACGGCATCTACACATCAACACTTCATCGAGTCATTCACACCAAACACACATATCGCGTCTCGGTACCGTTCTTTTTTGAACCGAATTTTGGCGCGGTTATTGAGCCATTGCAGGGGTGTGTGGAGGAAACGGGGGGTAAAGCTTTGCATGGTCGAGTCATGTATGGGGATCATTTGTTGAGTAAGGTGGAGAATAATTTTGATGTTGGGGCGAAGAGTGGGGAGGTGTAGCGTATTGTGGGAGTTGTAGAATGCGCTCAGAATGGACGAATGACGGAAATGTTAATATGTGTCATTGGGAAGGAGCCGACATCTTTGAGCAGTTTTCCTGACAAGCGTCACTTCAGTGACGGTAAGATTGGTAGCCGGCCGTCTAATCCTACTCTTTGGTATCTATCAAACGTCCAAAGCTCTGTTCGCTGACTGCCAATGGGTTGTTGGGCTTCATGATACGTGCGGACTCGTGTGATTTTTGAAATCAGAAATTGCTGGATAAATCACCGGTATATGGTTAGCGTCATATTTTATAATATTGTCTGTCATAAACACAACGGGGCAATATATCAGTGGTAGATAGCTCGCTTTGCATGCGAGAAGCCGTGGGTTCGAACCCCACTTGCTCCAATATGCTGATTTTTCGTGTTCATGTTTTGTTTCGAGGCCTGGCGAACTTGGCCTTGGGGTCGTCGTGGTGGGAGGCTGGACATCTTTCTCCGCGGATGTCCCTGAAGTCTTCAGCCACCACAGAATCATCTTCAAGTCCCCAGTCCCCACAGAATCGAGCCAACATCACACATGACCGCCTTCTTTCGGATTTTGGCAGTGACCTGTTTCGCAACAGCCCTGACTCCGTCCCCTTCCTTCGCTTTGCCCTTAGCCGACTCAATCTCAAACAGCCCGGGGCCTCTGACATTCTCGCTATGCAAAACCAACCAAACACATTACTGCACTCCAGTGCCTGAGAACGGCACCGTCACGCACGGCGATTTCCTCACGTTCCTCGTATCGGGTTTGACCGCTGACTATCTTGCATCCACTGATACGCAACCTTCGGCGGGACTGTTTGTGGGTTTTGACAATTCTGAAGGTGGCATGACTTTCAGTCTTACGGTTAGTCATCTTCTGACATACTCAGTTCGCAAATTCCACCAACCATATTTACCCATATCCCACCCTCTCCGTAGGTGAACGGTGTAACTTACCGGATGAACGGCAAGAAGGGCATCCTAACTTGGAATCTTCTCCAGGACCCCAAGTTTGCCATCCAAAAGTACAACTCCACACATCCCTCAGCACCGTCCTCAGCAATACCTTTGAATGGCATGTTTACAGTCGGAAGTGGATATGGCCAACCAGATCCCTCTCCCAATGAACCAGATTTTACATTGATACCAACTCCTTCGGGAGATTGGCACCTCATTTCACGTAACGACACGCGCGCAACCTACTTCCGAGTCGCTTGGCCCAGAGAACCTCTTCCTTCTGGCGGGATGGGCGTCTCGTATATTCTTCATTGGAACGACACCATGCCTGTGCAGAGCTCATTCTGGTTGATGCCATCAGATGGTCAACCTGTTGGGGACTTGCAGCCACCTCTGCTACCAAAGGATGTTAGTAGGCCAGTAATCAGGATGCCGGATAATAGTGGGTTGGACGGAGCATGGAGAGACACTATTGTGATGATTTCGCTGGGCGGAGTTGGGACTCTCATTATTGTTTTGTCACCGTTGTGGCTACCTGCATTGTGGGGGCGGATGAAAGCAAGATCGACATATGAGCGCGTCGATGTTGTTGAGGATTGAGGAATTACGATTGATAGATTGCCCAGCTTCAACAAAATCGAGTTGATGTCTGATTCCTCCCGAGGAAGCTTGGATGGTCTTCTATGTATATAAGACGTTAGGTAGATTTTGGAACTCATTTTGTGTTTCCAACCATATTGGAGCGAGTCTTCACCACGTCTTGATGCGGTCATTCCGAGTGATGTCTCTCGGTTGGCATTGAGCTTCATCTTCAAACCGGAGTTTATCGAACGATGCACAATGACCTGGTAATCTCAATCAAACAATGCGCTTGATTACCCAAAAGCTTTGAGACCAAAAACCCCATATTTACACCTGTCCAGGTATTGTTCACTCTTTATTGCTTACTTTGCTCAGTGAGGTGGCGGGGAACAGGACTGCCCCTCATTTATGCTGGAGATCAGTGAAGAGAATTGTGAATTCCAATTTTTTCATCCACAGCTTCAAAATAGTTGTCAAAGTTTCAGATAAGGTGTCCCTTGCATCGCTTTGCCAACGTGCTCGTTGCTTCATCTGTTTTGATTCGAAAGTCCATCGCCGGGCGTTGCTACTCCATCCGATTCGACGCCACAAAGCACAACCAACCAGGAGTAGAAGTGCGAGCGCTGTGCGGTGAAGTAATTTGAAATAGTGAAGTCGCAATCATGGTCTCGCAATTGCAGTATACTAGCATCATGTATGATGGGCCATTTGATCTCCCATGAGAAGAACCCCTCCTTAATCGTTCTCTGTGTCGCATCAATCGATCCGCATTGATTGACACTCAGCGGCAACCCTAAAACCATAGGTAAAAGCACTAATGTCTGCATTAAGTACATACAAAAATGGGTATATATACAGTCGGTAGTCAATAAGTGCTATCACATTATAACTTCTCAACTCTTCAAAAGCTGACTGCTAAGACAGTGATGATGACGGCTACGACCGACATCAGCGACCATGAGCCCACGGACCGGCCAGACCCCGAGTTGTAACCGGGACTAGAGTATGGCTGTTGTCCGACCGTTACGTTGCTCAACCAGTCGGAACCACACGTGTTCTGAACGGGAGTTACGTAACTAGAGTAGAACGAACCGGGGTTGGTCGGTAACGAAGCGGTGAGAGCGGATGAGGCATTGTATGTTTTCGCGTGGTTTAAGACGGTCCATGTGCAGGAGTTGCAAAGCTGTGCTTGTTTTGCTGCTGTGCTGCCGCTTGTGAGACTCAGTGTTGTGACGTAGTCGATGGTGAAGCGGAGGTAGCAGTAAACTGAGTTGGACGGATCTCTTGAGCAGAGGTAAGAGTCTTTCAAAGAAGTGCCGTTCGATGCGAGGGTTGTGTTGATGTTGACAGCCAGGGTGGGAGTAAGTCCCGACATGGGGTTTGTGATGTTGGCCACATAATTTGCATCGCAGTTTGCGGTTATTTGAGCGCGGTAGGGTTCCAAGGCACTTGTGCAATCATCACTAGCGCAAACTGGAAAGCGCAGATGTTGGTCATTAGTGCGGATGTGACTTTAAATTGATGGCAAGCAATATGATACATACGGGCAGGGACAAAGCCATTCAGGAAAGCATAAAGACCCGCTGAGGTGGTGGGGAAAGCGGTGGGAAGGGCGCACACGTTCCACATATGATTGTAGAACTGTTGCACTACCGCATTACAGGAGGCATCGTCTCTCGCTTGAAGCCGAGAAGTTGCTTCCGTGGAGGATACAGTGAGGAGGACGATGCTGACAGACCGAAGGAAACTGCGCATGGTTATGATCCTTGTTATTGCCGATGATACCAATGACAAGGGACCTGGGATTGACATATTCCCATCTTATATATCCTGTAAATCCCTGATCTTTGGTGAACCTGGGTGAGGACTTGTCCAGATGTCATAATGGTTCTGCGCGTTTCAGGGACTGGGCCACACTTCTGGAACAACCCTTGAACACATAGAGAGCTTTTGGCCTTAAAAAGTAAACAAGGCCCATGGGCTAGTCGGAGCATCATATGCAGCGCAATGCCTGGGCCAAGGGTTGGATAGATAACATATATCAAACTTTATGATCGCTCTTGGACAGATCCATGCAGCCAAAACCGGTTAAACTACATCCTCTTGAGCACTTGACGGCTTCCAGGTCATAGACGCCATCAATTGGGATTCCACTAAACTTACTGATAGCGCGGCACGTCTAACAAGCAATTTGATGCGATACCACTAGCTACTGAAAATGGCTGTGGGAATAATTTTGAGCGTTGGACAAATTGTATGCCAGCGTCAAATGTCTTCAATATTATTGACCGCTTCGGTCCGCTCGAATCAATAGATTGTTACATTCATGTGCACAGTAGATATTCAAGTATTGGTTGGTGCTTTATAATTTTCATGGCATGAAGCGACTCAATGTGTGAAAAGGACCTGAGTAGCTTGGTTAGCTTGAGGACAGTTGGGAGAGGAAAGACCAAGACCCGCTCCACTGGCATCGTCTGGAACAGCACCGCCACCGTGATTACTCAAGCACCTCGATGGGCTTTGGGCCTTTTGACCCAGAAGCACCATCCGAGCGTCTCCTTCCCGAACACTCCAGCCTGGACCCGCAAAAGAATTGTCAAACTCGCTTCGCTATCTGGAAGCAGCTATCACGCGCTGACTTATAGCAAGCAGCACTAGACTCCGAACGTATGTAGCAGACCCTTGGTTGACTCAATGGCGCTGGTGAATGTGTCGTTATCTGGTTAACTCGTCATCTCTTTTCAGGTCGTGCTCATCGTGCTCCGGATTTCATACACCACTTTCCCAGCCGATAGTAGTGGAGGGCGTCATATTTCATTACTACAGTGCTCAAATCGACGTTAACGCTTGTATCCGCCCAAAATCTCAATACCTACACTTTCACGTAAACCACTGTCATGGGTCATTCAGGATCAAAGGAGAAAGCAAAGGAAGCGGAGGACTTGAGCAAGCAGTCACACTGTAAGTTCACCGGATTTTCCAACATACTATTGATTGCAATCTGGGATTGCGCACAGTATCTAACGAATTCTGGATTTGCATAGTCACACAAGGCGAAATCCTCAAAATGCAAAAAGAATTTGAACGTTTGGCCGATGATGAGTTCACGATTGACAAGAATGACTTCAAGAAGGCATGTGTTGCAGTCGTCAAATCGATCCGGTTGTTAATACGGAGCTGTGAGAAGTCATCCGCATCCTGAGCCCTGTGTCCTTGTCATTTCAGACTCTAGAAAATCACGTCCACTGCTGGTCGGCTGGTGCTCAGTACCTATTTTTGGAGCGTTTGTTTGATGCATTTGACTTGGATGGGAACCATCGGATAGATTTCCGGGAGTTCATTCAGGGGTTGAGCGTATTTAGTGAGTGTTTGCTGCAATGAATGGATGAGCTTGTTTATGTTCGATTTTTGTGACAGTTGAGTTGTCAGGACGCTAATACCTATTGTCTGCCTTGATAGTGAAGGGAACGCCGGAAGAAAAGATGGAATGTAAGTGTTTGGAGATCTTGCGACTCGCATGTAACGCACAGTCTCAATCGTCCGAACTGCTCTCTTTTAGTGTCATTCAGACTGTATGATATCGACAAGTCCGGATCGATCGAACCTAAGGAATTGGTAAAAATCATGTCACAAATGGTATGTCATTGCGTCACTGGGTAAGAAGTGTGACAGTAGGTCGTTGACGCATCATCCTCCAACGTCATAGTATTCCGCATTCTACAACGAAGATCAAACTCAACGCATTCGGGATCTAGTTTACCAGATTTTCCAGGATTTGGATATCAATGGGGATGGTTCACTGGTAAATACTGAAGGGTCCTGGGACAGGGATGTCTTTCT